CCCCAAAACCCCAAAACCCCAAAACCCCATTAGCACAGAATATTGATTTTTTGAGAGAAGATAATTTAATTTCAAATAATATTAGCCCGTATAAATTAAATGGAACCCATCTAAAAACATGATGTAAACTGATTTACTTCTACAATCATTTTTATAGAGCGGAGGTATTATCAAGGATAGCCCTGGGGACACTAACAGAGGACTAAAGACCCCACCTAGGAAATAGAAGATATAACTCTAATAAGATGAAGCATTACAACATTTGAAAGAAGAAAGAAATTATATGAAATGGAGAGGGGCTTAATAATTTTTCTGCAAGGGGCGTCTAATCACAGGGCCGAAAATATCTTATCCAATACTTTCATTTTTACTGATTAACATTCCGAGTGGGTTATCCATCGCATTTCCATTAAGAGTAATATTCTAAGAATTTAATAATTATGTGAAGGAACTGTCCGAATATTATAATTACTCAATTATGGCAATGGGGATCTTACTCTAAGTTTTATCTACAATATTTCTGATACTCACAGCCTGTTCAGAACCGGGTATCATTCCTAGTAGGGTAATAATATTTATGTTTTTATATTTCCAGGATTATTTAAAAGATGTACAGGCAAATAATCTCAATATTATAACAAATAAAGTAAGTTAAGGATCCCTTTAATATATCATAATCTGTTCTAAAACTCTCTTTAGCATAATAATTGGATGATCAGGTACAATTAAAATATGATGAAGTTAAAGTTTTGTTTGACATGTAAAATATCTTAAATAACTTATAAAAGGTGAAATATACAGACCTCCAAGAGCAATTCACTGTGATGATTGTAACTGTTGTATTTAGAAACTAGATCATCATTGTCCTTGGGTTGGAAACTGTGTAGGAAAGAGAAACTATCGATATTTTATCAGTTTCATAAATTTAACTATGATTTTGATTCTTTATCAGATGGCTATATCTTTATGGAATCTCGGTGTTATAGCTTACTAATACAGAGAGCAAGAACAAACTGTAAGCTATTAGACTTTATAATTATAGATAGGAATGGCTGAATCATGGAGATTAGCGATGAAAGAATCGCCCTACAGTATGATACTTCTAATCTACTCATTTCTTGTACAATTTCATTTATTTCATTGTTTCAGTTTTCAATATTCGTATTTGTTTTGGGTGGTTATCATCATTATCTGATTTGTGTAAATAATACCACTAATGAAAATCTAAAGCACACTTATCGCTATAGTGGGAATCCTTTCAAGTAATTTGCTCTATTTCAGTATTTTAGGCGAGGATATCTTGATCACATAAAAGAAGTTTACACTCTCAAACAAAAAAATCTACTTTGGAATCCAAGAGGAATTGTTGGAGCTTCAAAACTTAGATCAAGAAAAGATATATATAGAACAGAAGGAACATCAAGTCCATTAGTGGGATTAGATTCTCATTAAAAAAAGTACTATCAATCTTATGAATTTAAATAGTGGACATAGCCATAATAATGGATTCGCAGAAGTTAGCAACTTTGGAAACTTTGTTAACAGATAATTGAATAAAGACCTCTAACTGGCTGAGGATGAAAGTAATATGATAGTAAAGCCAGGTGAAATTCATATGAATGATGATGAAATGAAAAATGTGATGGATCCATCTTGTGTGACTGATAATGATGAGAAGTTGCGTCGAAGTAGTCATCGTACTGGAATGGAAGACAATAATTCAAGATCTTTTTATTATCCTGCTATTCAAGTAATTTTTATAGTAAAATATTTATAGAAAATGGAGATTTATGATAATTCTCTTATGAATAATTCGAAAATGCTCCGACAATCTGAAAAACTTGAGCAAAGAAAATTTATCAATCAAAATTAAAAGAATAAAGAAATGAAAAATAATGATGATTAAGAGTTAGTTATAGATAGTGATGATGAGGATAGCGCCTAGATATTCGAGGATACTCACAACTAGGATGGCGTTTTGGATGAATCTATTTGAAAGATAAAATAACATCAAACTGTACTAAATAATAAATTTATAATTGGATATTATAAGAATGATTAGCTGAGTAATTATAGTATAGTTTTTAACATTTTCAAAGAATTTTACATAAATGATATTATTCACTGTCTTATCATTGCATATTGCTTATGATATTTGAAATAAGCATATCTACCTTTTCTAATTCCATAGGGTAGAGAACATCAGCTAAGTTTTCTAATGCATCGAAGAAAATTTCCAAGGTCATTTGTTTTGAAGTAGTCTACTACAAGACCTTCTTGTAAAGTATTTCATAGTTGGTTTAAGTCATATTTGGATTTACCATGCCTTTAAATTTAGCAAGTTTTGAGAATTTGCTTGAGGACATTGACCCTCCTTTTTTTGCGACTAGTTTATCATAAATTAACTTAGCCTTGTAGAACGAGTCATAACCTTCAAATTCATTGGAGGGTAATAGTTTAATCCAGCCCTTATATCTTTCAATTTCAGATCTATTTAAATTCTTTTTTTTCATCAGTTAAATTGCTTCACCTAGAATCTTCATTTTTATATATTTGTCTATCTCAGATGGCTCTTTAATAAGTCCTTTCTCACCCTCTTTTTCAATGAATATATTTAGAGATGGGTGATCATTGATTTCGAATAACCAAGCCTTTAACTTATCATCGATAAATATATCAAACCCTAAAATCTAGAAACAGTCACCTTAGGCTTTCTGCATATTTATCATCTACTCTTATTCCCTCAGTACAAATGGCTAAATAGCTATCAATGCTTTAGTGCAGCAATCTTTGATTTATTCAAAGAGGTAGTCTGTGTCAATACCTTATGTTGACAAGGTTTGCATTAAAGCTGTCAGAGTCCTCTTAGTTGCTTCATTTTACTCATTAATATCCTAGCAGTTGACATATTTATCGCTTAATTTATTTAAAGAAAAGTTCGTCAGATGCTATAAGATCTTATGCATATTATCTCTATCTGGTTTTTAGTAGTCCTCAGTGCAAAATCTCACTAATGCCTCATCTGCTATATATGCAATTAAGGGATCAACTGAAGTCACCATAACATATATTCTCAAATCAAATTTTTTGTTGTCAACAAGTAAGGGCTTATCCAAGTATTCTTACACAATGTATTCCTGCTAAAAAGTATAAGGAGGTAATTCTTTGAAACTAAAAACCTATTAATTTAATAACTACTTACTTTTTCAAAAGAAATATTCCTAGTCCCTCAGCACCTCCTTAAGGCTTAGCAATAAATGTCTTTTCTTTATACTTTTTCATGTAATTCTATAATGCCTCAGATTCTTATGGTAAGGCGAATGTTTGTGGAGCAAAGTTAAAATCGTTTTCATAATGCTTATAAAATCTTTGGAAAATCATGCCTAGATGTTTCTTGTTGCTTACAACCTAATTAAAATATAGTTAATTGGTATTTACTTATAAGCCTGGTACTCTGTTGTAAATGGCTTTAACTGTGGAAATTTTTTCAAGGTCTATTGATAAGGTTTTACTTTATTGGAATAATAAATCATACTTTCTTCTTTCTTTAATGGGAAAAGCCATATCAGATCAGCTTTTTTATCCTTTAAATATACCTCCTATAAAATTATAAAAATAATAGGAGATATTACGTGCCAATTATGAGCTTACATAAGCTCTTTTAGTAATGGAAGCTCATGCCTACAGTTTACAATGTTGATTGAAAATTTTGAAGAACTCTACTCCATGATGTTGGATCAATAATTTTTTAAAAAATATAAATTTATGAATTTCTAATATTGATAGAATTTAATCAGGCTCCTTGGGGTTTTGGGGTTTTGGGG